ATTTTTTTTTTTTTTTGTATACCCCACAATCTCAAGCCTTTAAAACTTTATTTTCCACCCCCACTTTTTCCCCATGTCACAGGGAAAAAAATATAAATAACCATAAAGCTAAGCGTTAACCAAGGAGCTGTGATGGGTAGATAAAATAAGCTATAAGAGTATCTCCACAGACTCTTTAAATATGAGATGCTCTCTATTTTAGAGAATCAATATTTAAAATCATACTCCAAAAGACTCTTTAAATTAACATTTTAATTTAGATGGTGTGTTTGATTCTCCAAATATGGAGAGTCAAACTCATTATCTATAATTAAATACATTCAAAGTGTTTCAATTTTCAATGTAGGAAAATAATAAAATAATCTAAAAAAAGTTAGTTAACATAAAAGATAAACAAAAATAATAAATATTTATTGGGAGTAGTAAAATTAAGTGTTAAATATAAAAAGTTTGTTGGAGTACTTGAAAATTTTAACTCTTTAAATTTATAGATGTTCTCCAATTGATAAAATATGCTCTTTAAAAATAGAGAGTTTATTGAAAATGCTCCAAATCCCTACCACTATGCCACAATCAATTACTTGAATTGTAATTGTTTCATTTCGAAATTAAGCCGTTTCAACTAGATTATGTTTGCTATTTCTGATTTGGAGAGAAATTCAATCTCTTCGAGGAGTAATCCATGAGAACAAGCAAAGGTAAGAATTGTATTGATATTTAAACCATCAAAAATTACTCTTTCCCCTTCCTCTTAGATTAACCTAATAAGCTGTCATTATAATCTTAGTGGGTATTTGGTAGGGATTAACATTAGATTTTTAGAATATTGTGATAAAAGTTTTTTAAATGTGTGGTTGAAAAGTCGTGGAATCGATGTGTTTAATATTGATTATTTGACTTTGATTTAGATTAAAATTCGATTTCCAAAAGAAACATGCCTTAATCTAATACTGCAAATTTCTAAACAAATCCCAAGATGAACCCAAAACTAATTATTTTTTCAACATTCTCAATTCTGTAAATCAGACAACGGAGGAACGATTTTACCCATATTTATAACAAACGCAACAACACAATCTACACATAGAACCATACCTCGTGGCCTGAGTAATGGCGAGAAGCGGAAGATAAGGGTTTTGAAGAGTCATCATCATGACGGTGATGGTGGTCAATGGAGTCAACCACTGGTATCAAAAACTCTCGATCTCTTTATAAATTCTTTTTGAAACAGACAACATTTTGGGATTTCTTAACTGAGTTTTAGACTTAGAAAGAAGGGGAATTTACAGGACTTAGAAACGGGTAGGAGGGGTTGGGTGCGGGGGAGAGGAGGTTGAAGAAGATGATGAATAGTGTTTTTTTTTTGGTTATAGTAAATGTAAACAGACCATTTTACCCCTTATTTCTGAAATAAAATGAAAGGTTTGGGATCTCTGTTGCAAATTTTCCTAAATAAAATAATAAAATTTTGAAGAAAGAAGATGAAATGGGATGGGGTGGAAAATAAAACTTTAAAAGTTTGAGATTGTGAGGGATACATAAAAACAATTGGGTATAATTTGGTAAAGAATAAAAAGTTTGGATACTAAAATTACAATTATTACTTTTTAATTTTGACAGTTTTACTGTTTTTAATGGAAAATCGAACGGTATTGGAGGTTTTCGCACAAATGATTTTAAATATGAGGATTTTCTGTGATTTTCAATAAGCAGGGGATATATTGCAAATAGAAACATTTTTAGAAGGTTTTCTGCTATTAATTTATCTAAAAATGACCAAACCTTTTATTTGAACCCATCAATTTGGTTTTAAAGTTTGATTGAATTTTATATTGTGAAAAATATTTTTCCAATTGATTATTTTTATCTAACGAAAATTTAGCACATATTTGGTAAAAATTAAAATTAGATTTTTTAATAGATTTTGATAAAAATTGATAAAATGTGTGTTTGAGAAATTGTGAATCTTATAAAATATGAGATTAAAATTAACTGTTGACTTTAATTTAAAATGAATTTTAATTCAAACCAACCAGAGGATTTTTATTTTTTTATTTTTTGAAGGTAAATTTCTTTTATAAGGATTTTTTTTTTCTTTTTAATGCGTAATTTTTTTAGCCCGATTTTTTTAGTCTAATTCTAAATCCGCCTCTATTTACGATATTGTCGACTTGCTGGATTTTATTTCAACAAATATATTGGCTGATAGTAAGACATAGTTTTCTGCCTCGAATGACAAATTCAAAAGTTGACCTTTCAACGCTTTTAATATTCCTCCAAAAAAATAAGGTAAGACATGCAAAGTGGATACTTCACTGATATGGCTTCATATGTATGTGATTTTCATAAGAATTAAGTTCTTAATCATCATATAGAAATCATGACACATGATGAAGTAACAACACTGCATTAACTGGTTTTACTTTGTATTTTGTAAAAATCCAATGAAATCTTGCAGAACAAACATACTGCCAAACATTTTTGTATCATGATTAATTGCGTCGTCTAAAAGTATGGCATAAAGATAGCGTACATATCAAAAATATTGGAGGCTTAATTATTTTGCGATGTTTTGTCCGAGAAAAATATTGATAAGATATCTCAGTTTAGATGCTACCATGCAATGCATTTCTCACATAGTTTATGAACTTCAAAAAATATGTTATTAAATAATTTAGTAATTTCTAATACTATTAAGCTTAACCAACCTTTGGTCAAACTTGTAGATTAACAAAAAAATAATTATAAATCATAATTTTATTTTCAGATGTCTATATAAGGAGCACTGAAGTTGATTACTAGCCAGAATAAACCAGTTTTATATTGTGATTGTGAGAGAGAGAGAGATGGAAGGGAACATTTCTTTGAATGTGAAAATTTTCATTTCCATAGTTCTGGTTTTTGTACTTGGTCTGTTCATGCATCTATGCAGTGTACTTGTAATAAAACCTAAGAAAATACGTGAAATTCTGAGAAAACAAGGGATAAATGGACCACCACCAAAAATTTTGCTTGGTAATATCTTGGAAATCAAGAATTCTCGAAATGCCGACGAGAAGAGTCCGACTAATCATTCTCATCCTCCTGTCTCCCATGACAGTGCAGCCGTTTTTCCATTTTTCCAGCAATGGAGAAAACAATATGGTATAAATATCTGTATTGTACTGTGCACTTCTTATTCATTTTGATCTCACATGACATTTTTTTACAGGTCAGTTATTTGCGTTTTCTCTTGGTAATATGCAAATAATACACGCAAACGACCCTGATTTGGTAAAAGCAATAACTAAGTGCACGTCGTTGGACTTGGGGAGGCCGAAGTATCAACAAAAAGAGCTCGGCCCTTTGCTCGGCCAAGGCATCTTAACTTCCAATGGCGCCATTTGGGCACGGCAGAGGAAAATTATGGCTCCTGAGTTATTTATGGACAAGGTTAAGGTTAGTTATTAATCTGTTGATGCTTTTAGTTTTCTCCAGGTTCTTAATTTTAATCTGCACAACTTAGCATTAATGTTTTTGCTAAAATATATTTACACATGGGCGCATAAATTACTATGACAGTAAAACAAAGTTTGGAGTTGGCTATATGAATCCTATTTTATCGTCGAAGAGCATGTATTAACCAAAAGAAAAATTTATGGTGTAGGGAATGATGAACATAATTACAGAATCTGCAGACTCCCTCGTGAAATCATGGAAACATGAAATTTCAACTGGAAGTGGAATTGTAGAAATCGTGGTTGACGAATATATGAAAAGATTTTCAGGTGACATAATATCGAGAGCGTGTTTTGGTAGTAGTTATTCCAAAGGACAAGAGATATTTTCCAAACTTGGAGCTCTCCAAGAGGTTATGTCGAAAAAAACATTGTCTATCGGAATTCCAGGTTTAAGGTATGTAATGAATATTCAATTATATTCGCTTTATAGTCATGAAAATTATATAGTGACTTATAAATTAATCATGTACCAGATACCTTCCAACAAAAAGCAACAGGGAAATATGGGCTCTGGAGAAGGAAATATGCGCATTGATCTTGAAGATCGTAAAGGAAAGACGACAAGAAGGATATGATAAGGACTTATTGCAGATGCTTGTTGAAGGTGCGAAAACTAGTAATTTGAGCCAGGATGCAATTGATCAGTTCATTGTGGATAACTGCAGAAACATCTATTTAGCTGGATTTGAGACTTCTGCTGTGGCAGCTTCTTGGTGTCTCATGTTGTTGGCTTCAAACCCAGAATGGCAAAAACGAGCTAGAGCCGAGGTCTTGGAAGTTTGTGATGGTCAAGTCCCGGACACGGACATGCTCTGTAAAATGAAACAGGTATCCACTTTTATCCTTTTCAAAATCATGTCTTACAAATTCTGCAATGAAGCTGGGACAGTTTCAGATCACAATGTAATCTGTGAGCATGAAAGAGCAAATTTTGCTAGAATGTGAGCAACATAGTTTGCCTGATGCCAAAAAATCTGCCATAACAAAAAATCTTGTTAGGATCCAAAAAGGGAATTTCAAACTTCATACTTTCCATCCCGAAACAATCAAACCTCGTTCTGAATTGATAAAACCTTGCTTTAATAATGAGACCAAGTTGACTCCCCCCACAAGAACTTCGATCCTTGGTTCTTGTACCACTTGTTAGGTTGGGATGGCTTGAGCAACCCGCTTTTATTTGAAATTTTTCCCCCTGCTGTGAAAATTTTGCCCCTGCATATTTGGAGCTACTTCCGAATTCGTCCCTGAACTATTTCATTCAAAAGTTTAAGCTTTTCTATAGAATGCACATTTATTTGTTTAAATTTAGTTTTATACACATTCCACCTTAGTCTGGAGGAAATTCTACTTGTCTTGTGTAGCACTAGGACAAAGATTAATTAACATCAAGTTTCACTATGGTTTTACAGTTGAACATGGTAATTCAAGAAACCTTGCGCCTTTACCCTCCTGCGCCAACATTAGCAAGGGAGGTACTAACAGACATGAAAATTGGCGAAATTCACGTGCCCAAGGGCGTGAACCTCTGGACCATGGTGGCAACGCTCCACACAGACACCGATATATGGGGACCAGAAGCGCTGAAATTCAAACCGGAAAGGTTTGAAAAAGGAATTGCTGGTGCATGCAAGAACCACAACTCGTACTTGCCCTTTGGATTCGGGCAGCGTGTGTGCGTAGGACAAAATTTGGCCATGGTTGAACTAAAGATCCTTATGGCTCTTATTCTTTCCAACTTTTCTTTTGATCTCTCTCCCAAATATGTTCATTCCCCGGTTATGAGGATGATAATAGAGCCCAAAGATGGAGTCAATCTCTTGATAAAACAGCTGTAATTTGTGGTTAATGTTAATAAATTCTTGTCGTGGATGAAGAAGACAAGGCATGCTTTCATATATTTAAATAGGAAAAACTTACATTCAGTGTGCAAAAATGTTGTTATTGTAATTCTTAGCAATGTTCTAAAAAGCACTTCCAGACGTGAAACTTGATCTTCCCACCTTTTTAGAACACGTTTTTAGTAGTACTAGTGTGTATCGTGTGTTGCACGATAACTGTTATGATTTTGTAAGAAACGTCATTATGACGATTATCTATTTGGAGACATATATCTATTAGTTACAACATTTTAAATTTCTATGTATTAGTTAAAACATTTTAATAATGTCAATAGTTGAGCGTGTAACGTGATTATAGTAAATTTTATTTCAACCGGCTTTAAAAATGTTGCTACTTAATCGATGATGTGGAATAGAGAGGCAAGCAACTTGAATAATATTAATAGTTCAAATTCACTGTCGAAGGTACGTTTGTACGTCTCTTAAATGTGAATCAATCCCTACAAGCTAAGGAATTATAAAAGAAACAAGCAAGACATAGGACATAAATGGACTATCGAAGAAAAGCATATAAAATGGAAAAAAGGCAATTTATTGAACATTCAAAACTGTAAATCTAATGATTGTGGTGTGAGAGGTTGTAAGATTTTACAGTCATCTAATAATTGTACACCAAGGATGGTTCTTGAAAATAATCCAAGTCAAAAGTGGTTGACTTGGCCAATAAGGTTAAAAAACATTACTCTCTCCATCTCCTTCTCCTTCTCCACTCTCTTTTCTTTTACCAAATAATCTAAGAAAATAAGCAATTATGGGAATAACACTTATTCTCTTAATATTACTTATTCTCTTAACTTCAAGTTTCACATTCTCTTCACCTGTTCAAGACCCTGAACTAGTTGTACAACAAGTCCATGACAATATCACTTCATCAAGAAGAAATTTGGCAATTGTCTCTTGCGGCACGGGTTACCTTATTGGCCAAGTCAAAAAGTGGTTGGCCATTGCTCTGAGGCGCACTTCTTGAGAATCCAATGCTCTGTGTTTCGACTCATTCATTTGTTCCACATTTTTTTGCACATTTTTAACAAAGGACGGTTGCATGTGAATTTTGAAAAATCTACTTTACCCACATGCCTCCAACTACCCATATTTTGAAAAAAGGATTTTCATTGTACATGCACATGTATTTCTTTTACGTGTTAGAGGGGAGTGAAATTCAAAGGTCCATTTATTGTGCAACAATAAGATAATATATAAAAATGAATGGGAAATGGCTACTTAGCCCTTGTTTGCCCCAATTAAAATTAAAACTTTTTTTCTCTTTCTTAATTTTAATCATATATTCTCCAAATACATAAATCTACAACTTTTCATTATTTTTCAATTACACATTCTCCAATCAATCACTATTCCAAAATGTGAGCCAAACAATACGCATTATTTAGTAACAAGTTGTAGTGACTTTGGAATCTATGATTAGTTTAATAGAAAATATAAGGAAATACATTACTATTAAATTATAACTTCATTCCATGGTTAAAAGAAAAGGTAAAGAAAATGGAAGGGTGGTTTGCATACAGGTAGGTATTTAGATTTTCTAATCTAATAAAAAAGATTGATTATTCCTTACAAATGGAGGGTTAGATTTAAATTTAGGATCATGCTATGTGTATATGTAATTTCAGAAAAACTTTCACTTTGATTTGAATTTATTGAACATTCAAAGCTGTAAATCTTTTCTCCCAAATGACAAAGTGAGTTCTCTCGAATAGACGCTTTTTATGTTTAAAATGAACTTAATTGCAATTAAAATGTGGTGTATCAAATAAAATATCAATATTAATACTAATTAACTAAATTAATCCTTTTATATACTAGGTTAATTAATATTTAGTGCATATTTGAGTTTCATTATCTAAAAGCTCTTTTTTTTTTCAAACTCATTTTCAACAATACATTCTCCCATTAAAATAAATTTGCACATATTTAAAATATTTCCATACTTTTTAAATACACGTTCTTCGAAAAATTACTATCACAAAATCTATTCTTCCTCATACAGCCTTAAAAAACAAGTGAATTCCGTTCATGGTTGTTATACTTTCACTATATTTCAATCAAATAATTGTAATTCGATTGTGTTCAATCGGATAATCACATTTTAATATGATTTCAATCATGTAAAAGCAAGAAAATCAATTACAAACAAGAAATTAATGGCTTCAAGCATTAGAAAATTACTAATAAGAGAGGGGACAAAGCCAAGACCTCCTTAAAAGAAAATTAAATACATAGCACTTCTAATTAACATAAATTAGAATTTGAGCGAACCTAATTGAAATCAGTTAGAAGGATACATAAAAAAGGATATAGCTTAAAGCTTTAGAAGTTGGTGCTCTAAAAAAATCGTTTAGGCGACGTTTGGGCATTGTCTAGGCTCGAAGTTAGGGTAAAACACCTCACTTCGCACCTAGACACTTTTGTTTTTCAATTCTTAAACTGTTAAATTTTCTTGTTTCTCTTTTACGTCTTCCCTAAGCACGCTTTACTAAAATTTTTATTTTTTTTTAAAGTCTTTTATTTGATTTTAGATTATTAATTTTTTTTATTCTTTAAAAAACTTTTCATTTGACTTTAATTTCAAGTTTTTAAAAGATTTTATCTATACAAAAGTTAAAAATGACTTTATTTGGTAAAGAATTAAATAAGATTAAGCTACGGTGCTATCTGCATATGTAATTACGATCTTAAGACTCGTTATTTTGTTGAAAATTTTGAAACTATCTATGAAGTTCCTACAAATCTTATAACTAGGATTTGTTTAGTTGAAAATTGAAACTATGAAAAATAGTCTAATTTTTGTACTTCGAAAACTTGGAAAATTATATAATTCACTAATTAAAGGAATTATTAAGTAAATATAGTATTTTATAATTTTAGATGTTTGATAAATATTATTTTTATTATTAAATGATTTTCAAAATGATTAAACTTTTTAAATAATATTAAAAATAAGAAAACGCTTTTTTACGCCTAAACGTCACTAGATTCGCTTAAGATCGTAAAACTTGAAATCTCGTCTCCACGCGTAGCCATACTTTACACTTTTTAGAACACTGTTAGAAGATAATGAAGCACGATCTTCTTTACCCTCAAGATAAAAATGAAGCACAATGTGCTTTAACCAACAACTCACTACAAAATGTTCCCTCGATAAATAAAGTTACATCTCAATTCATTTATAGTACTGAATTCTCAACATTGGCGCCAAAAATTTGTTGTGAGAATTTTATTTCAAGTGTACAATATCATTAACAAGTAATAAAGTGTACCTAAAAATCTAAATTTTGTTCATACTAGGACTATCTATCTAAATGTTGATTTAACTATTTTTAACTTCAATTTAAGTAATAGCAATTAAAATGATTTTAATTATGATCCTAAAGTTATAAATATACAAGAACAATTAAAGAGTGTGCATGTCTTAATTTAGGCTTTAATGGATGTATGGAAAGTTTTAGGATTTACAAGTTCACCATAGTTATTTCTTTAAACTCAATCACCAAAATCCTGACAATAGTCAATTATGTGTATTCGGTCAAATTTTTCAAAAGTAATTGATTTACGTATCTCAAGTTTAATATAATCCTACTCAATTAAGCCAACTCACTATATCTCTACGTATATTAGAGTAACCTTTAATCAAGAGAATTCAATTATAAAAGAATTCAATTGAGTACAACAAATGTAGTATGTAGTGTATCTTCCTTCTATCCACATTTCAATTTTTACTTCATGGTCTAAACAAATTACTTATCTCTTGGTTAGTTAACGTTCATAAATCAATGGATTAGTAATCAAAAAATTAATGTATGAAGAAAAGATGAAAAACAATCCACAAGCATTAATTAAAGATCGAAACATCATAATAAAAAGGAAAACTGCAGTCACGGTACCAAATCTTTCACATTTTTGTAGACTATGCCCAAACCTTTGATTTGTAACGTGAATTAATTTAGGGAAAATTGCAACTAAGGTTGTGGTGGCGGGAGGAGGTGGGGGGTGTGCTAGTGTTGTGGTGCCGGCAGTTTGATTTTGGATTGGGTTGCGTTGCGTTGGGTTGGGTGGGTGGTTGGGTGGGTGGAGAAGATGACATGGGTTTTGATTTTTGATTTTAGTTTTTTTATATGAAAAGGAAAAATTACCATTTTGCCCTTTAAGAATTAGGCAACAATTGGTTGAATTTTTAATTTTTGGTCAATTGACAATCAATCTAATGGTTTCTGTCAATTTGGACTTAAGGTGTGAATTGTATAAAGATTTGGTATCGTGGATGGCACAAATCAAATGTTTGGACAAAGTCTGCAAAAATGTGAAATGTTTGGTACCGTGGCTGCAATTTTTCTTAATAAAAACTAAGATTCAAAACTAGGTTATAATCATTCTTCCCAACTAATCATTAATTACAATTATAGAAGAAAAACAAAAGAAACATATGGAGTACATCATTGGATTTGAAGGAAGAATGAGAAAAAAAAAATGTTGATGATCTTACACCTTGAATCACTTTCTTCCACGTCAAATCTTGAAAAGCCTAGTTTTTTTTTTTCTCTTGTATTTTCTTTCCAAAAGAACCCTTCTCTCCCTCATTTATGACCTGGATGAAGTCGTTTTATAGTAGTGAAAGTAGTTGCGCCTCGAAAATGAGTCAAAATAAATCAAGAAAAGTGAAAAATATAAAAATAAAAATAGCAACGTGGCAAGTTGCCGAGGTTCATCATGGTTTGCTTGCCGCGGTTGAACCACGGAAAATGGTTAAATCTGAATGAATGTCCCTTAGCCCATGTTTGACATCTTGTACTTTAATTTAATTTATTTTTCATACTCATTTTCAACCATATATTCACATAATAAAATATTCCACAAGCAAATCCAAAATTTTTCTCATTTTTCAACCATACATTCTTCAAAAAAATACTATTCAAAAGAATCAA